ACGCTGCCGAGTACGTCCTTAAAACAAACGCTTTTTATATTGACCAACAATCACGTGCACGATTATGCAATCACGCTTAATGGTTGGTCGGCGACATCTATTATTGACATCCGGCAGATTGGCTGCGCGGCAATATCCGAAAGCTGAATAGTATTTGACGAATTCGCGGTGAGAGACGGTCAATCAAAAAGTAATTTACTTCGCAATCAGCAGAGCAAGTCTACTGTGCGATGATTTCATAAGCGCGCAATGTAAATATATATATATGTGTATGTATGTGTCGACGTAAATTTGCACCTGTCGCGGTATTATGTCGTGCGAAATTCCGCGATAATTCACTGTATCTCGATCAATTAAGGAATCGGGCATCGAAATTTAAATTGCAGGAACCTTTTGTAAAGAAGAAAGGCAAACGAGAAACAAAAGCAGGAACACGCGCGAACGAGTTAAATCCGCTTTTCGTTTAATCTAGTCGCTTTTGTTATTTTTACTATAGCGCATATAATGTGTTTTTCATTCACTCGCGTGAAATTTGAATCCAAAAGAGGTACTTGAAACACGTTGAGAGTCATTTTTTCGATATTTTTTGTTATCGTTGCAGGGTATAATTTAAGGTCTATAACAATTTCACGCGCGCGATTTCGGAGCTTCTGCGAGCGTTTCGCTTCGGGCAGTCTGCAAGCAAGTACACACGGAAAAATACATACTGCATTCAAGTAAATGTTATTTGTGTTTCAAATATTTCATAAAATTATATATTCGTAAAAGTTATCGCACGAATTCATAATTTGTATCTGCCTTATAAGTATAATAGATTTATCATAAGCATCAAATTAATTAAAAATGCATTGAGAATCTTATAGTAAGTTTAACATTTCAATAAAGAATATTAAATAAAAGCAAAAAAAGTTTGCTTACTGTATAGAGTCAAATCAGCTTTTCTTTCGATAAAATTTTATAATATATGTGTGTGTATTCTTGGGAAGAGAATAAAATTACTTAAATAGTTAGAAATTCAAGGCAAACAAGAGCCAAAACAAGCTAATCTAATAATTCCAAAATTAGTTTGTTTTGGGTTGCCTCAATTCCTAAACATTTACATTATTTGTGATTGTATATCATTATAGAGCCGTTCTCTTAAAGAGGATAAAATTTTCTCTTTTGAGTGCATGATAATGAGCTTTCCTCAAATTTGCGATGAGTATATTTTAAGACTATTACTAAGAAGATATTGTTTATGAAAAATAATCATTATTAATATCTGATTAAAAGAAGAAACGTAAACTGCATAGTTGATGTTTTTAACAATAAAATGATATTTTTCTCCGTATACAACATATTATAATTAATATCTGGTTATTATTAATTAATATACTAATAAGTAATCAAAGATTTTTCAGGTAAAATTAAAATTACAATTATATTTCTATGTCGTTATGATTTTATGAAACAGTGCAACAGATAGCAGAAGATCGTAAATTAAAATGGTTCACATATTATTTCATAAAATTATGGTAATATAAAAGTACACAGAAAAGAATTTTATATTTTTCATATTAATTCTTTTCAATTTTACCATGTTTTTAATCCAGAAATAAGCTGATCCAGTAATCCAGAAATAAGCTGTCAGTGTGATCGATCTTGCTAAGAGATATTTGCTTAAAATACGTAGCATATTTAAAGCACTTAGCGAATGTTTTAATAATACATTTCTGACCCTAAAATGTAAGTAGCACATATGTGCTAACATTTAGAGTTGCTAACATTTAGCTGTTGCTAAATGTGAGAGGAGAGTCAAGTACTTCAGAATGTCGATCTACTCTGTCACAAAGCAATTTTTGCTATAAAATTCTCTCCATGTTTAATTTTATCAAAAAAAATCTGAAATTACTTACCGCACAACCAAATATTATTATTATTATTATATTATTATTATTATTATTATTATTCAAAACCGATGTCGCGTGAACGCTCGGCTTCTCTGTCGGCGGCGCTTGGAATTGTCCCGTGCATTTTTCCCGCAGAATTCACACTTGTCCGGAACAGCGCCGCAACAATGCGTGCACACATGACATGCGCGTGCAAACAACACGTCGACGCGCACAGGCGCCGCGAAACAGCGCGCGGGCCCGTCGTTATAAGTTATTCCGACTGCACGCCATTTAGTCGCTTTCCGCACGAAATAACGTAAACTCGCGCCGGAACAAATGAAAGTAACACGAGCCGCGGCGGCTCGCGCAATATCGGCTTATTAAAGAGCCATGAGCGATAACAGGTATCGTCCTACGCGCGAAACGTGCCCGGAACTTGGAATGGCGAGCGCGCGCGTCCGCGACCGCGAATTTCGCAGGCGTACGGCTGGCGCCCATAAATCCGCGCTTTTCTCGTCCCGCCGCCGCGGACGCGGGAGTGCGTGCGAGTGCCGAATAGTTCGTTACCGTTGCCGAGGGTATATTTCGGCGTGTCGCGCCAATTAGTAAAATGGAGCGCACGCGCGCGCTCAGCGACGCGCTCTTCGCGTCGAGGTGTCCGTAAACAGTCGAGGGGGCGCCTAATAAATACGCGAACGCGCATCCCCGCGATCAAATGGATAATTATTACCGCGCGCGCACGGCGACTACCTCGATTAATTAATCAGCGTCATTAATCAGCCGCGATAGGCGCGACGGAAAAGCGCACGTACACACACTGGCACGGGGGCGCGTGTCAGCGTGTTAGCGTCGCGCGTCTGCCCTCCTTAGCCGGGTTAACATGGTGCGCGCGAATGCGAGTCGATACCGGAAGTCCCTCCGGGACGGCGCGTCATTTCAGCTTGTTTTGACGTTTATCCCCTTGCACGTCGACATAATTCATGCACCGGTGCCCGCGCACGCGAGCGCGCCCCGCGTGAATTTGCAACGCGGTTAATGCGGTTGTTGTTACTGATATTGATCGCCCGATTGCCTGGTTGCGCGGAGAGGAGCAGGGAGAGGGAGAAAAAGTTTTGCTTACACGACGTTACAATGAGGGGGGAAGAAATGGTTGATCCAAACGAAATTATATCACGGAAAAAAAGCTGCTGCAGCAAGTATCTGTGTGCGCTGGCTGTGTGCGTTGTTACGCGTGGATTCCTAAAGATATGGCTGCCAGCGAGCATATATTTAGCTGCGAAGTCGAGGCAGTAGCAACGGTAGCGAAAGTTTCAGTTGCAAATTTGTAGTTCCGACAACGAATATATTCTCAAACACCATGATTAGCCACGGCAGTGAAATCTCTTCTTCCCACGTAATCATTTTTGGGCTCAGCTATTTTTCTGATTGTACCGACACAAAAGCAGTAACAGGCATTAATTATCATTATATTAATTAACATTATATTAGTAGGGTTTAATTGAAAAAAAATGATTTTCTTCATCATAATTTATAGTGATCACTTCCCTATCAGTAGAAGTGTTTCTGATCAAATCAGCAGAAGGAGTATTTTTACCCGAGAACCAAGTGAATATTCACTGATTTTCAGTGGAAACACTCTCATTTTACTGCTACGTCTTACATCTCGCTGCCTTTCGCCATGGAAATGAGATTTCGCCACAAAATTTGTCGTATATTAATCCGTTGTATCCTGCGCCAAACCCAATTTTCTGCGTTTATGGCGATGGAATTAACGGCTTCCGTGCAATTTACACGCAATGACGTTGTCTGTCTGTTGCAAACTGCATCAATAATGGAAACAGTCACTGCTGTTAACTGATTCGGCTGGTAATTTTGTTGGTTACTTAATCGCCAGTTACAAGTACAAGCACATTTCGGTGAAGAGTACGTCGACTGTGACTTCAGAGAACAGCGTTTTCCGATACTCGCGTCGGTATCGCGCCAATATTTCTCGAACACGACTGGAGAGTTCGTCTTAATTCAGAACACGGTACCTCATCCGGTACCTCATGGTATCGTTTTCTGCATCAGTTATCACGCTTAATAATCGATCCGCACTTAATCGAGATTCAATGTTTCGCACCCTTTCCTTTCCTTTTTGATGCCTAGGAATTACAGAGCCGTCGATTCAGCCGGCTCCCTGCAGACTCGGCGGCCGCAGGCACGCTAATTCAACGCTAATTAATAGTAACCCTCTCGATAACTCGATGAACTCTCCAGTTTCCTGCGAGAGGTTGGCCAACCCTCATAACCCTCTCAACCTCTCTCCTTCTCTCTCTCTCTCTCTCTCTCTCTCTCTCTCTCTCTCTCTCTCT